CTGCTAACCAGAAGGCTGGCGGTTCAAATCCACCAGCCACTCCTCGGAAGGAAGGTTGGGCAATCTACTTCCGTAGTGATGTTGCCTCGGAAACCCAAGGAGGGGTCGCTATGAATCGGGTCCAACTCGATGACAGGGCATTTATATAAAAAGACAAGAAAAGGCAAATGTATGGAGAACAAAGTTTATCAGTGGTTACCAGGGGCAGGAGGGTGGGAAAAAGGGAGGTGAATGGTGATAGGTTCTTTCCTCCCCTTTCCCTTTTCACTCTACTTTACACAAAGAGTGGGGTACAACAATGCCAGCATTGGGCTGCTAATCGAAAGGTCGGTGGTTCGAACCCATCAGCCGCTCTGTAGGAGAAAGATGTGTCAGTCTGCTTCCATGAAAAAAGCAGATGAGGCTACTTCTCTACAACTAAACACTTCATGGGATTTGGTTGCTTGGTTTAGAAGTTTAAAGTCATGGTTCCATGGGACTGGGACATCCTAGTTAATTGGCCTAATAACGTTTAGTGCTTCTGTTCCACTTCCTAGTTCACGGCATCATGCTTGGGGTCTTAAAAGGTTGCAAGCAGCCATTCAAAGCACAACAATTGGTCTTTATTCACCTGGAGCAACAGAAGAAGAAGAAAAATTAGGAATAGGAGGAGGATAGGAAGCCTAATGGGAGCTCTGGTGGTATAGTGCCTAAGGCACTTGACTGCGAACCAAAAAGCTGGCGGTTCAAACCCATCAGCCCCTCCTCGGAAGGAAGATGGGGTGATTTATTGCCGTAGTGATACTACCTCGGAAATCCAAGGAGGGGAGGGGTCACTATGAGTTGGTTCCAACTCGACTGCACAACAACAATAGGAAGCCTAATTGCCTCCATGAATTACTATGTCCTTGGCCGAAGACCAGAAGAACTGAATGGTGCCCGGCTACCCTCACTGAACATTTTGATCAAAGATCCTGTGGTAGTTAAGGCTGTATGTCAACTTTGCTGGGCTATGGTTTTGCGTGGTTGGGATGTAGTTATTCCCCATGATGAGACTGTCATCACCTCCGTGGTGGAATCTGCTGTGAGTGTGCCATAGTTGCCTTCGGGGTGTGGCCTGGTTCCAGTGCATAAGGAGAAGCTTTGAGGAAGATCTCTAGCTTTTTGGCACAGTACCCTGCATTTGGCCACGTCTTCATCTCCAGTGCCTGGACTTGAACCAGTGGCCTGCCGTGTTGCCGGCCGATCTGGAGATTGAGCCGTTTTACCTGCCGACCCTGGGTTCATCAGCCTCAGCAGCCTGCGGCAGCCTGAGTCAGGAGAAGCCTCCACTTGCTCCAGTGGGGCCTGGAGGGCAGAGCTGAAGCCCAAGGTCCAGGGGCCTTCATCCAGCCCCCAGAGCCAGCACTCTGAACCCAAGGCTTCTAAAGGGCGAGAATAAATTCCTGTCTGTTAAGCCATCCACGTTTGGTATGTCTGTTAGAACAGCACTGGAGAACCAAGAGGCTTTGGAAGAATTCCAAAGAGGGGAAAACGCGGCACAGAATTTCAAATTCTCATGGAATCCAGTCTTTCTGGAGCCACGGAGGGTGGCGGAACCCCTGGAACTATTGCACAGAGATAATCTTTCAACCTTCAACATAAAATATCACCTGAAGTCATCGTAAAGTGAGCAATAGTTTAGTAAACAAAAAGGGTCTGCCTTGAGCATTGTGGGTTTTTTAAGAACTATCTCTGCAAGATCAAATCAACAACAGCAGCTCTAAAGATGAGATAAAAACCTTAGAGGGCAGTGAGTTTGTGCTAAGGAGGGAGGAACAACTCAGAAAAGGAGGGTGAGAAGGTTGCACAACTCGAAGAATGTGTTCAGTGTCACTGAAGGATACATGCTGAAACTGCTGGAAAAAATGTTAAGAATAAATGGAGGATAAAGGTGAGGAGCCAGCCACAGGCGCGCACTCCATCCCCCATCCTGGGCCCTGGCACCTTCCTATACCTACCCACCGCTCAGTGACCACCGCAGTGGCCATGGAGCCATCCCGCAGCTCTGGTGAGTGGGCCCAGTTAGAGCTCCTCAGGGCTGGCTGTGGGGCTGGTCCCTCCTGTCCTGACCGCAGCCTCTCCACGCAGGAGCGGATTAGCCAGTCAACGCGGTATGCACTGGTGGGCTTCATGGTGTTTATTTACTAGTCTCTGCTGAGCAATTTCACATTTTTCTTTTTTTTACCACGTCTTTGCCGTGGTGGGGGACAGGTGAAATTGTGCACTGCAGATTGGGGGGACCTTGCTGATAGGGTAAGCCGGCCCTGCGGGGGCCCATTGTTTGAAGGCTGCTTACAGTGACCCCGGGCTAGTATCCCCACCTCTGTGCGCTCGGGAGTAAGCGGTCCCCCCTACCCCATCCTCGGACTGTTCTCCCAGGCCCCGCCGCGGCAGACCCGGGCTCCGCGCCGGGCCCCGTGG